ACATCATCTTCATGGGGACACCTCCATGGGGACACTTCATCTCCAGGGGGACATCGTCTTCATGGGGACATCTCCATGGGGACACGTCTTTGGACATCGTCTTCGGGACAACGTCTTCATGTGGACACATCCATGGGAACATCATCTTCATGGGGACACCTCCATGGGGACACTTCATCTCCAGGGGGACATCGTCTTCATGGGGACATCTCCATGGGGACACGTCTTTGTGGGGACAGCTCCTCTCCGTKGGGACATTTGTCTTCGTGTGGACACATCCATGGGACACATCATTTCCGTTGGGGACATCTCATCTCTGTGGGGACAACTCATCTCCACGGGGACATTGTGATTTTGGGACACATCATCTCCATGGAGAGGGGATGCTGTGGAGTCAGGGTTATTCAGGTATTGGGGTTTCCCTGTTCTCAGTGATTCAGGTATTGGGGTTTCCTTGCTTTCAGTGATTTGGGTATTGGGGTTTCCCTTAATTTGGGTGATTCAGGTATTGGGGTTTCCCTTAAGTTGGGTGATTCAGGTATTGGGGTCCCCCTGATTTGGGTGATTCAGGTATTAGGGTTTCCCTCTTCTCAGTGATTCAAGTATTGGGGTTTCCCCTAATTTGGGTGATTCAGGTATTAGGGTTTCCCTGTTCTCAATGATTCAGATATTGGGGTTTCCCTGCTTTCAGTGATTCAGGTATTGGGGTTTCCCTGCTTTCAGTGATTTGGGTATTGGGGTTTCCCTTAATTTGGGTGATTCAGGTATTGGGGTTTCCCTGCTCTGAGTGATTCAGGTATTAGGGTTTCCCCTAATTTGCATGATTCAGGTATTAGGATCCCCCTCACCCTCCCATTTTGGGGTGCCCCCAGGGATGACGCGCCAGGCGCGCAGCTCGTACCTGGCGGACGAGGTGCTGTGGGGTCACGGTGATTCAGGTATTGGGGTTTCCCCTCCTTTCAGTGACTTAGGTATTAGGGTTTTCCTGTTCGCAGTGATTCAGATATTGGGGTTTCCTCTTGATTTGGGTGATTCGTATATTGGGTCCCCTCACCCCTCCCATTTTGGGGTCCCCCTGATTTGCGTGATTCAGGTATTGGGGTTTCCCCTAATTTGGGTGATTCAGGTATTGGGGTTTCCCTGCTCTCAGTGATTCAGGTATTGGGGTGCCCCATTCTCTGGGTGATTCAGATATCAGGGTCCCCTCACTCCTCCCATTTTGGGGTCCCCCTGATTTGGGTCATTCATGTATTGGGGTTTCCCTCTTCTCAGTAATTCAGGTATTGGGGTTTTCCCTAATTTGTGTGATTCAGGTATTAGGATCCCCCTCACCCTCCCATTTTGGGGTCCCTTCACCCCTCCCATTTTAGGGTCCCCCTGATTTGGGTGATTCAGGTATTGGCGTTTCCCTCTTCTCAGTGATTCAGGTATTGGGGTTTCCCTGTTCTCAGTGATTCAGGTATCGGGGTGCCCCATTCTCTGGGTGATTCAGATATCGGGGTGCCCTCACCCCCCCATTTTGGGGTGCCCCCAGGGATGACGTGCCAGGCTCGCAGCTCGTACCTGGCGGACGAGGTGCTGTGGGGTCACCGCTTCACGCCGCTGCTCAGCCTCGAGGAGGGTTTTTACGAGGTGGACTACGGGGGCTTCCACCACACGGTGCCCGTGCCCACGCCGGCCTGCAGCGCCCGCCAGCTCGCCGCCGCCGCCGCTCGCCGCGATGCCCACCTCTACTGGTCCATCCCCAGCCGCCTGGACGAGGCGGCGGCCGCGGGGGGCGAGGGGGACCCCGAAATCTCCCCCTGCGAGAGCAACGGGACCCTGGCCAGCCCCGAGTCGCGGTGATGATCCCAAAATCCGGGTGTATATAATCAAAATC